ATTACGATCATATTGTACCGAAATATATGCGGTATCCCTGCATTTTGTAAAAGCCAGAAAGAAGCATAAACTGTATGAAAAAATGAAAGGGAGAAGTATGCATGCCTTCTATAATTTTGATTTATATGTACATTAGACTGCATCACCAAAAAAAGTTGCGGTTTTTCCGTCGGGATTACAAAATGTATTATATTTTAAGACGTCCACTAAAATATTTCGGAAAAATATTAAGATTTAAGCGAGCTGGACCGATTTAAAATTACCTCCACAAATGAAGTTTTTTATGAATAAAAATAGTTTCTTAAAGAACTTTTTGAAAAAAGTCCCCTCAGATGACAGATTAGAATAAGCTTAAAAAATCTGCATAAAAATATTTAAAAATCTTTTCAACGGAATCGTAAGAATGAGATTTTTGATGCTGTTTTTTTACTTTTTTCAAAGATTGATTTACGAAAAACTTGAATAACTGGGCCAAAACTGTTCCGATTTAGACTTATGGGATCTCAGTAGAAAGGTATTTTCACACCGTTTTCATTTCTGGCCAAAAGAAACGTCATTCGTGTCCCATCTTTTTTTTCGAATACCAAAACATCTTAATTCAACTTTGAATGAGGTTCGCTTCTCCTACCTTTCTCTTCCATCCTTTGAATAAGTTTATTAGCAAATAAATGAAAAGGGTGAGAAAATACCTTTCCAATGACACCTCTTAAGTCTAAATCGGAAGAATTTAGGTTCAGTTATTCAAGTTTTTCTTATACCAATCTTTGAAAAATGTTAAAAACAGCATCATCATTACGATTCCGTTAAAATTTTGTTCAATTTTTTTTAATATTTTAATGCAAATATTTTAAGCTTAAACCTTTTTGTCATTTGAGGGGATTTTTTCAAAAAAAATCTTTAAGAAACTATTTTTATTCATAAAAAAATACATTTTTGGAGGTATTTTCAAATCGGTCCAGCTCACTTTAATCTTAATATTTTTCCGAAATATTTTGGTGGACGTCTTGAAATATAGTATATTTTATAATTCCAATGGAAAAATAGTACCGATTATTTTTTGTATGGGGAGTGATGCAGTCTAATGTACATATATTTGGCAAGTTTTTGTGTAAACAACAAAAAATACACATTTCCATTTCTTTGCCAGCTTGGAAGGTATAGGCTTATTTTTACTTAAATGTGATATAAAGCAGTGGCGGGCCTAGTTAGGGGGAATTGGGGAAATTCCCCCCAAGACTGTGTAACATGTATTTTCATAATATTCAACTGAATATCGTGAAATATCATTACAAGAATATATAATAGGTTTGTTCCACAAGCTACTTGTAGAAAAACTCGAGCAAAGTTCAAACTGTGAGCGTATATCAAAGTAACTCGAAAACTTACTTGCGGAGCGCGTATATGTAACTCGAAGTGACTTCGACAAGCTTGGGGAACAAACCTAATGAATGGATGCTTTTGAAAATTTTAATTCGAAGTATTATGTTATTTAAGTAGGCCTATCAGTTTTTCGACTTCACTAAATTTTCAAAATTTTTAAATTATGTACTTAATTTTCAATTTTTACATTTTTGTTATATTTTCGAATTTGTATTATTTTACACAGTTGAAAGTCACAGCAAGTTTGAATATTTTCACAGGTTCAGAAAACAACGAAAATTAATATTATTAAATTTCTTGAGATTTCTTATTTTTAGGATAATTTCCAAAATTTCAAAAACTATCTAAATCCTCTAGTCTACAAATTTTGGTAAAATGAGAATATTTTGAAATGTACAAAATTATTGAGATTTTAGAAATTTTCACCAATTGTCGAAAAATTCTTATGTTCATGGTACTTGTGTTTAAAAAACAGAAAATTCTTAGAATTCTAAAAGATATTAACATTTTTGAAAAATTCCAAAATTTTTCCACTTTTCGGAACTTTTCCAAAATTTTGTATTGATATAACAAAGTTTGATAATTTTAAATTTTTTGAAAATTTTGGAAACATCAACGTCTAAAAAATTTTTAATCCTCATGAATTACGAACATTTTTTAAACTTTCAAAAACGACGAAATATGAAAATATTTTTAACATTCGAAAACTTTAAATTTCGTTCGATCAATTGTGTACATTCGATACTTTTACTTAGAAAAAATTTGTTAGAATTCCTACATTTCTCAAAATTTTTGAAAAATACAAAATTTCTAGAAATTTAGTTTTCATCATTATATTGAATTATTGTGATTTACTAAAATTTCTCAAATTTACAAAGTTTTGAAAGTTTAGAAAATTTTGGAATTCCACTCAAGTTATTTAAAATGGGGAGCTTCAAAAAATTCAAAACTATCAAAACTCTAAGAATTTTAAATTGCGGTAATTTTTAAATTTATATACATGATATATCTTGAAGGGATCAAAAGGGGAAAAACCTCCTTGGTATCTCTGCATCTGTTAAACTTTTTATGGGAAGATGTATGAAAATCCAACTTGCTATAATTTCATATGCTTAACAGTATCACAGTATGTTTACAGTATCTTCCCATAATTTTTCATATGAAAAAATGTATTATATGCATCCCACTCGATATCATTGAATTCCTCATTGGAACATGTAGTCCCTCTATTTTAGCGTATCAACAGTTCAAATGGCTTCATACCATGTAAATGCACCATAAAACTTTGGATTCAAAATTATTTTGTGCCAAATTCTGTATTTTTACAAGCTCAAAGAAGTTAATATACAATTAAATGTTTAGTAATTCTTTTTAGAAAACAAACATGACTTAAGTCTAGTAATTTTTCATTTTAATTTCATGTCTTTTAATTTTTCTATACGCTTTTATCTCTTGGTGTATTTTTTTGCCATTTTCAATTATCGTGAGTTGAGCTTTTGATAAAGTTTTACAATCCTGAATTTCGTTTCCCACCGATAACTTTTATCCGATGATGCCTCAACATTGTTTTGTGTTCTAGGGAATAGTCCGGGAGCAAGCGACAGTAAAAATGTGCCGATTTTATCGTCAAAGACAACATATCGGGGACTTAAATTTACTGCTGTAGATTAACAAATAACAACACTTACATCGCACCGTGGGACCTTTTGGTATCAGGAGGGTTCACATTGTGTTATAAAAAAATTAAAAATAACCTTACCTTATCGTCGTTGGCCTTTTGTGTGGTTATCAATTAACATTGGACGATGTCAAAAATTGATCACTTACACTTATTTAGCGGGACAATGTACCGCTTACAACCGCGCAAAAATGTCAAAGTTTTGGCGAAAATCGACCTATGACATCACACTTTAAATTTATCATGGATATAGAGTAACGCATTATACATGTAAAAATAATGTGTTTACATCGCATCCGTGGGACAAACCTATTGTAAGTGATCGGCAAAGTCGCCGCCGCACAGTGCTTCCCTTCTATATAAAATGTGGGCAAAAATAGAATTATGGACGGATTGAAATGAAAGTTCGCTTCTTAGTAAAATTGAGGACGTTAAATTCAAAAATGCAATCTTTTTTTTGGACAACTTTCATATATTCACTGTAAATGCTGTTTGAAGTTACAATTTGGGTTCTTGTGGCATTTACATACTAGGTATGCACATATAGTTCGTTCTATTTTCAAAAGTGAGGTGTCAAATGACAGGGCTTGGCCTGCAGATGTGCAGTAATGTTTTATTTTTTTGTAAAGACTTGCCTTCTATTACAACTTTTATTAAAATTTTTTAATAAGTTAAATGAAATCGATATTATAATATGGGTATCCATTGAAATGGTTTTGAAAAAGCGTTACTTCTAAACGACACGTATTCACTTTAATTAAGGGGATAAGGTAACGGAAATAAAAGAATGTAATCAGAACAAATCACAGATCGACAATGTATGTATTTGCAATAAAATTACAAATACGATGTCGTAAACATTTGGTTTGAAACAGTTATTATTTGAGTTTAACTAAACAGGTGGCAACCCTCTTCAAATATTTATAAGCTGTAACCTTCTTAAACCTCTGAGTCCCATATGGTGATACCTATTTATTTCAATTACCTAATTCCCTTAATACAAATGGAATTCTTTTTTTTAATTAGGAGGCAACCCTGCTGTATGTAGTTAAGAAATAAACTCTTTTAACATTCGATTGATACCAATATTTTAAGAATTATAATTTGTAATGCGAAACATGACTTTTTGTCATATTTCTGAACCAATTTGTAAAAATATAAATTAGAACTGTTTCTGAAACTAACATTAGGTATAATTTAATGCATTACGTTAATATAAACTATACATATGTTTATTGGCTTTACGGATTTCTGTAAAAATCGGAAAACCTATGGATAAAGAAAAGAAGTGTATAGCCAAAATTTTTCTTTACGAAATTCTGTACAAACAGTGTATGGAGAATTTCATTGGCTTTCGTTTGCCGTTTTTATATTAAGCTTTTTAAATTGGTTCGCAAGATATACGTGCTTAAAAGGAACCAATTTCTGCTTAAAGCTGAATAACGGTGAATTACAAATATCTCGAAAATGTATCCATAGACAAAAAAATTAACCCGAATTTCGGAATCACCGAGCAATTCTACATAGAAATTGGAAGTGGCGTCTGGAGACCAAAAACCAAATTAAAATTTGTGATCCAGTGTTATGTTTACTTGTTTGATTGTTTATAATTGCTTGAATATTTCTAATTATATGATTATTTTTAATTATTTTTCCAAATAGATAAAGCTGTCTTTGGCAGGCAAATTTTTATAAGTTAGTATTCATTAACTGAAACCAAATTCACTGTACGAATAAATACTTGTACTGTAGTTTATAAGTAAGTAATGATTTCTTACAGACATTGTCAGGCGTGTTTTATATTTTGTATTTTTGTATTTTAAATACCTAGCATCTCTGTCTATACTTTTAGTGCACTCATTGAACAGGCCTATTAAGTTAGTTTATAACTAATAGCTTTTGCTGAAGAATACTCGCAGTTCAGAAGCATTGTTATACTTACTTCTATTACAACACAGCTTATGGACTGATTCCAAAAATATGTCCTCTCTTTAGATGCTCTCCATAGGAACAAAGTTTTTATATAGTAACTTTTTAGGTTACTCATGTTCTGGTGCCTATCTCGAAATTTTTTCATAATCCTTAATGCATTCTTTAAGCTTTTCTTATCCTTTATAATATCATGCTCAAGAGAGTCATAGGATGCTCGAAAAGAAATTTCTCTTGGTGTGTTCTTCAGCGGCTTCGGAATGGCATCCCAATCGCCCGTAATTGTGTTTAATAAAGCTTGTGAGGAGCTCAAAACAATTGCTGGAACGAAATCTACTGAATATTTATATGGATTATTCATAAATATCGTATGCGCTGGACCTTGCTTTCTATATGTTATAGCTGAAGCGACATTTTCATATATAACTTGTTTATTTAGATCGCTTAAGGCTTTTGTAAAGCGGCTTTCCAACCAACTTTGCAGAAGTCGAACCGAAAGAAAGTTTTTCTCAGTAACCCATTTTTTTAATTGTTTATAGCTTTCGGCATGTTGTTTTTGGTTTGCAATTGTGTGAAATACGTTTGTAAAATCAAGTATGACATTTCCGGGTACCCTTTGGTCCCTCAGTAAAATTATGCGCTTATATTCCGGCAACTTGAGACGGAAGACTAGGTCGTATTCATCAGGATATTTTACTTTCAGATTGTCGCCATAACTCCCTGGAAATGTAAAAAAAAATAGAAAGAAAGCTAATCAAATTTTCATTTTTCGAAAGAACATCTTGTAACGTAGCTTTGCCTACGCCACAATAACATATTCAACATCACCC